AAATGAGCGTCCCGGGCACGGCGGCGATACTGGCTTGAATTTGGTCTACGTGGCGGCTGCGCGGTGACCGAGCGGTTGTATTATCCAGAGGAATTTAATTGTTGTTGCCTAGTAAAAAGAATTCAGATTCGCCATTAATGCATACGAAGACATGGAAACTGGACGGTCGCCGCGCGGCGGTTACATGAAAACTTTCGCCTCGTGTAACTGGGCGCTAAGGGTATTTACATTGACCTACTAATAAATGGACGTCGGGTTCGCGCTAAAAAATGTCCGCACCTGTAAGGCGTTAAAATTGCATACAGAGCGTCAATCGCGCAATAGTCTTCGTTTGTTCGAGTGACAGCGCGGTTGTCAACCATGCAGTACCAATATATGCAGTACAAATAATAACTTGTAAAAATTACTGCAGTAAAGTGTGAAAAAAGAATTTTGTATCATATTTTCACTAAACAAATATATTGTGTTATCATAGTTGTCATTTAAAAGTGTTATTTTGTACAGTTTTATAGTATTTCATTTATATATAACTTAATCGTAAATATAAATTACAAAAGCACACGAAATAATAAAATAGTTAACTGTCCTTTTTCTACTCATTGCATGCGCAAAACATGGAGAGACCCATTACGTCAGTTTCAAGAAGCTTATATAAACTTCTTGGTCATTTTCAATTGTTCGAACTACAAGCGATTGAAGTATTTAGAACAAAGAAACTATAGAGTTGCTTTGATTTTAATCCTATTTTTAAAACGATTTTTTTATTAAACGTTAGTAATAACTAACAAAATATTGTTGTACTCGTTTTACGGCATGGTATTACCTAACAGAAGTCAGAAAAAACATTTGCCCGAAATAACATTAGCTCGAATTTTCATAATGTGTTTTTACGAAGATTACAAAACAAAAGCTAATTTTGTCTATGTAAAAAGCATCAAAATTACTCGGAAGCGTAACGGTTTTGTTATAAATCGGAATTACGGAGTTTACGTTTAGTTAGAATATCGGTACATTTCTTATAGTACACGCTTATTTTCACATTTGTAGTAATAATTGTATGTATGTATCTGCCCAACTCTTTATTATACCTTTAAGTAAATTTGTACAAAATTCGACATAATATAATATACTTAGAATAATAACGCATAGAAACCTAGCCCGCACACGCTAAGTGAGGCAAGTTAGAGGGTTCCAAACGCGTCTCAGGAGCGCGCGGGCTGTTAGTGCTCAAGGTCATATTGCACCGCGAACAGCTCCAAAATTTTTTGCTAAAAATGACGAAATGTGCGGTAAATGGGTGTAAAAATACAACAGACAAACAAAATAGACACTAACATCGCATTCCACAAGTAAGTAATGCGTTTCAACTCATATTTTTATGTAAATATTCACTAAAACAGAAAAATAATTTCGCGGCAACAAGATACGAAAGTGTTGCAAAGTAACGAATTTTTTTTCTCCCCATTTTGCTATTCTGTATCAAAATAATTATATTACGTAAATTTTAGTGGTGCCTGTAATTTCGATTTATTTGCGCATCTTGAACTAATATTTACTTGAATAAACATTAAATGTTTTCGTTAACTCCTGTAAGTGATTGGGACACTTAATTATTTTATAATACTTTTAACGGCTCTGCGTTCATGCTTTATTGAATAATTATTTATTTTAATTTTATTTGAATTGGAGCACATATTGCAACAAATTTACAGTACTTATATATTTGTTTCTACTATAGTGTTGGCACCACCAGTACAACTTTGATAGCTTATTATATGTCTTTCTTTTCGTAACTCAAGCGAAATATTTTATATTAAAATATTTTATTTTCTTAAAAGGGGAGCATTCTTAAGCGATTTTTTAATCTATTTTAACAGTTATTTTCTTTAATGTTTGCTTATGGCATTTTCGGTTTTAGGTTTCGAATATGGCACTTATTTCTAAATCCAAGATGGCGGGCGCGATTTTTCGAATAATGGCAAGTTGGGTATCGTTTTCGAGATGTTTGGGAATGTTCAATACAAATATGGGACTCATTTCTAAATCCAAGATGGCAAACACGACAGTTCAAACAAAAGCAATATTCGTAATGAGCACCCCCAAATACCTCGAAAACGATACCCAACTTGCCATTATTTGAAAAATCGTGCCCGCCATCTTGGATTTACAAATAGTGCCATATTCACATTGATCATCCCCAAATACCTCGAAAATGATACCCACATAGCATTTTTTTGAAAAAATCGTGTCCGCCATCTTGGATTTAGAAATGAGTGCCATATTCGTCATGAGCACCCCCAAGTACCTCGAAAATGATACCCATATTGCATTTATTTGAAAACTCGTGTCCGCCATCTTGGATTTAGAAATGAGTGCCATATTAGTCATGAGCACCCCCAAGTACCTCGAAAATGATACCCATATTGCATTTATTTGAAAACTCGTGTCCGCCATCTTGGATTTAGAAATGAGTGCCATATTCGTAATGAGCATCCCCAAATACCTCGAAAAGGATACCCATATAGCATATTTTGAAAAATCGTGTCCGCCATCTTGGATTTACAAATAAGTGCTATATTCGTTTTTCATCGACAAAACCGAGCATATCTGTAGGCACCTGATCGACATTGTCGGGCAAATCTGTAGGCACCTTTAACTTAATGATGAGTTAAGCAAGATACAATTTCCCCACTTTTGAGGGAAATGTTATTCCATGGCATCATTATTTGTATATTTGTGTGCGTGCCGACGAGCGTAGTTACAAGTTGCTTACGCCTACATGAATTTGATTTTTGCCTCACTTGTGACAGTTCGTTTGATATGAAACTATCCTTCTATGCGTTATTATTCTAAGATAATATATATAAAAAAAATTAACTAATATTTACGAGAAAGGCTATTCCATTACTCTTGTGTTCAAGTAATTTCAGTCGAAGCTAAATATGGTGCATTTTGTTAAGTTTCCAGTAGAACCTGAATATGGTGTTTTTGGGCCCTTAAATTGTTGTAAGCAAATTAAGGCACTGTGTAAGGTACTGTAATGACGTTACAATTTAAATTAAATGTTTTAGTTTTTTATATTTCGTTACATGTCACTACGTTTGTATAGGTTAACCTCGGACATTTTTTTCGTGGTTTTTTTATTAGACCCGATGTCCATTTGTTGGTAGGTCAATGGGTATTTACTGTATTTTTTTCGATTATCAATTGTTTTATTCATGTTATATTTACGTGAAAATGTCGATTAAATGTTAGCGACAACTTTGTCAAATAAAATTTTCAAGTAGTGTTTTAAACAAGTATACGTTATTATATTAAATTACTACATACTATAATGCAGAAAAGTAGTTCACAGCTCTAAAGTTCTACATAAAAAAAATATTCAACTAAGTAGGTCACTAAACTCCATACATACGTAAACAACACAACTACATTTACTATAAATATAAGGAATATAAATTGAGTTCTAATTGTTCAATATTGGAATACATACGTAATACTTATTTTACAATTCATTGCCTAAAACTTCATGTTTTAGTTTATTAAGTATTGGAGCTCTACTCTCAAAGCATGAAATCCACAGTTACACCCGTTTTCCAACTATGGATGACCTATAAACTTAAGTTTCGATCGGAGCTAGAATCAAGAATGTATGTATGACGAACGTATGTATTTCGAACGGGCCTTTTGACAGTCCCGTCTTTCCGTTGACGGACTTCGAGTGTAGTTCCGTAAGTCATCCATAGTGGGAAAACAGCCGTAATTACGGATTTCGTGCTTCGGGAGTAGAGTAACACATTAGACAGCCAGACACTGTCAGTGACAATATTGTACAACGACCACACGACTATTCCTTATTGCACCAACAATAAAATACAGACACAAACAATAGACAAAAACCAGGGCACGACAGATAGAGGGCCGTATATAGGATAACAATCTCTAAAAGACAACCTCGAGGTGACAGGACAGATTAAAAAAATAATAATTATTATAAGAGCGTGCTATAAATGCTTATCTATAAAGGAGTCCAATCATATTATTGAAGCCGTGGTATTCTAATGGATTGATCTACCGTCTCTAAACCAGTAGAACGGTCATTTTATTGTCAGCAATCATATTATGTATGTTGTAAACAATCATACTATATTGCATTTCGTGTGTCAGAATACGATGAATAACACTTAATTATTATTTACTCATTGGATTTCTATCAGCAGGGAAATGTTTACTTACTATAGTTAATTTATATACTGCTATGATGTGACGTAACCTGTTTATACCTTTTAAGATAAACTAAATAATACGACAAATTACGATATAAATGTGGTGTCGGGAATTCCGTTATTACTTTGCACAGTTACAGATAATGATAGTTTTATCTGCCTATGGTAGATTTAAGTGCTAGGCTCTTGTGTGTGTAGCAAAAACGCCTTTCCTGTCATTCGCAGAGGCTGTTCTTTGACCTCTTTGTCAGTAGTGCCTAATATTTGATTTTATTGAAGAGTTGATTTGACGACGTCGGTGGCCCAACGGTTTGCACTGTGGGCATGGGAAGGTTCGGGGTTCGATTCCCGGCAGGACCAATTTGGGAAATGAACTTTTCTGAATTGGTTTTGGTCTGGGTGTTTTGGAAAGTGCCCCAGAGTAAATTCCGTTGCTCTGGTACTCATTGTACAGGGAATGCCCTAGTTTCAGACAGAGATGTGGTTGCCTGACACATTATTTGGTCAAGTTAACTTATTTTCACTCGTCCAAGTTTGCCTTCCATTTATTTTCTATCAGGTTTTAACGGAGTTATCGTCTATCTCTGGTTTTAATATTTAAAACTTTCTTTAACATGAGGCATCTATACAAAAATGATTGTTTCGTTTGTCCCGTATGTATTTTATTATTTATCCGATTGCGATAAAGCCTTCGTACGCCCGTATAAGTTCTCATGTATCCACTATAGTCCACCACGTTTTTAGTGGTGTTATATATAAAACATCACACTCATTAGTGACATGATAGTGTCTGTCTATTAATATGTAAATCAATTTATTTAAACGGCTTACCCCTACAGCTTTCAACAGAAGTTATGATCGGCAATGAATTGTACTTACATCAGTTATTGAAATTATACTTCGTGTAGTTATCAGGATGATTGTGAAATCCTTTATGCTTGATATAGCGTCCTTCCAGCGATGTCTGTACACAGCTATTGCATCCAAGCCTCTTCCTGTCTCTGCAAGTCCAATTGATTGTGTTCTGGTATCGATTGTTGATCCAAAATTTGTTGTCTTTGAATATGAGGACCATGCTCCCAGTTCTATGCGATGGTAGGTAGAATATTCCTGAAATTAAACATGTCTTTATTACCTGTGCCTGAAGGAAAATGCACGTAAGTAGTGTCGCACAGTACCGTACTGCAGAAATCTCCGATCGGATTCTTTCGATGACTTTACTTACGCTGTACTATCTAATATGTGTTTTAAGTAAGTAAAGTTATTTACGGATATTGATAAATAAAACTATTTCAATGAACATAATTCACAAAAAAATAATGATTCCAAGGCCAAAAACTCCACTGGGTTTGTCTGCATTCATAAATGTCAGGCTTTGTAAAAATCAGTCAGTCTACAAAAAAAGACTGAATACATTGATTCATTGCCTCTTTAATGTAAATGCTGTTGGGAACATCTAACAATATTATGTGATTTAAGTATTAATTTTAATTTGCCTTATGGCGTTTTTCTTTATCTCTCTTCCAGATGGTCGCGTGGAAGAAACGTGCTGATATGGATAAGAATTTATTTTCTTTATTATACAGAGATCTTCAGCAACAATCCAGCAACCTATGCAAAGAAGAGGCTGCTGCCTACATTGATCCTTCGAGCCCGATATGAGCCAGCTATCTCTGGATCTACATGTAAATAAATACCAGTTTAAGTGAAAATAATAGATAATAACGGTACAAGTTAGTTCTTAGTTATAAGACGGATAATTAACTTTGTATATGGAGATCGTAAATTCGGTCACTTGATTTTATTGGGTTTTAAAAACATGTTTTACTAGGATTTGAAGAATATAAAACATACGTACATTAATATAACACTTAATGTATACATTACTGACATTGTATTTATGTCTAACATGCTGTATAATGTAAATCAAGATACAAAAGACGTGTAGGTACAACGTAAATAAGAAGACGTACGTTTATATCAGAATACTGTATTTCTAAAACTTTCACAAAAAATTATTTATAATCTACATCTAGCAGGTCCCTACAGCAGAAACGAGCGTTTACAAAGACACATTTTTGTATAATTATAGAATTACAATAAAGTAAACATAAGTACATTACATTATTTTGTAAACTTATTGAAACCGATAAAGTTAAACAATTTAAAAAAAAATTACGTATAAAGGAAGTCTTCGGTCGAAGTAACGAGACGTCGAATGCAACAGTACTTAATTGCAAGAACCGGAAATTATCAATTGCTGGACAATATTATGTTAAGAAGACCAAGTAAAGGTGAGATAAACTTCAGCAATTGCAATTCCATTTATTTATTTATCATTGTGTTATAAACAAAATCACAGTTTTACTTATGCCCTTTTCTTTAAACTTCTTTGAGATTCCTTCGGCTGCCACTATCTAAAATAGTTTATATTATATAAACTAAAACAAACTGCAGTGGACATAATTTTAAGTAAAGCAACTTTAAAAAATTATGTATACACAAAAACTTATAAAAAGTATTAGTGATTAATACAATATTATAAATAATAACTAGATTTAGTCATTGAAAAACGATACATTATAAATCCGTTAATTCCTGACACATCTTTCGCCTCATCAACACGTGTAAATTTACCTACAGATTTGCTCGATTTATGAAGATTGACATGTGTCACATCTACAAAAAATACTATATCGATCGTCTGTTGCTTACAAATTCACTCGTTTTGTTTGATCGCACTTGCGACGGGCGAATCGAGTTATTTAACTCGATTAACTCGAGTTACTCTCACGAGTCAACTCGAGCTACTTTTTTATGATCGACGAACCGAATACTTCATTCATACAGCGCATCGGCTACTCGTCACACTCGGTCGGTTTCGGCGAACTTCGGAGCACGCTCGAGTCGCGGTCGGTCGGTCGATCGTGCCCGACTCGGTGAATCGTCAGTACGGGTACATAATGAATATACGTTTTTCAGCTCGAGTGACTCGAGTTGAAAAAAATGCAATTCGTCCCGTCGTTAGATTACATAAGGGTTATCTTGACCTGTAGACCTATCAAGACAATGCGCGACTTGCGCGAGAGCGACATAAAGCGGGATATTTCTATGCGGGAATAGCGGTATCATGCGCTTTTCGTCGCTTTTGCGCAAGTCGCGCCCTGTTGTACGGGCGTCCCTTTCGATATCCTCCATTTGGTCAAAAACCAAGCGTCAATACGCACGTACAAAAAGCAGGTCATGTGTGGGATGATGAAAGCAGGTCTTGCAGGCTTAGCATTAAAACAAATAGACAATAATAGCGAGTGTCGAGAAACCTCTCTTAATAACGCACACACTCAACACAGCCCCGCACTAGGGAAACCCTGTGTCGCGGGTGCCATGGACACACACATAGACAACCACAAATTACACCTCTCTTATGTCCACAAACTATCAGTGAGGTGCAGAAAAGTACATTAACTTAAATTGGAAGTGACACATATAAAGTGGACAATACCTCCCTGCATTATTCCATTGTATTTTGTTCTATATTTACTATGATAGTGATTTAGAAAAGTGTTTTAATTGTTTGTAAAAATATAACTGTTTTGTTTTTATTATTAATCATACCGGTATCATCCATTCTACGTGTTACTTGACGTTTTATGCAAATATACACTGCCTTTTACGATCTCTGATCATTAGCTATGATACTGTCCTATACTTTATCAAAGTAAAATACGAGTAAGCATGTTACTTAATAAAGCATTAAAGGTAATGAATGGCACATTTGAGTAATTTGGACACAACGCGCCTGTACCATATGTGGTAACTCGCGGTACGTCATTTTTGAGAATAATTTGACAGCTAAGCCTGCTGGACATATACACATACTTTAGTTACTATAGAAAAAGTTTTAGCAAGCGATATTTATAATAAACGATATCACTCCTTATTTATGCTCATTTTTTTCCTGCCAAACAACCACACCCATTACCTGATCTTGTTCTTTCTTGTAAGACTACCGAGCGGATTTCACTTCAGGGCACTCAATTCCCAGAACACCTAGACCGGAAACGATTTAGAAAAGTTAATTCCCAAATTGGTCCTACCGGGAATTGAACCCACAGTATAAACCGTCGGGCCACATAGGTCCTTAAAAATGATATTATGTTAATACAAGGAAATGATCATTTTAAAAACAAAAAACCGATTATAAATTCATTGTTTTGGCCGGGGCCTAAGCTCGGATTACATTGCTGCGGAACGGATTGGAAGTGTAACGAAATTGAACATAGCATAATGACCTGTATGACAATTGCGTAACGTACAAACTAGATACGATGTGGTAGCTGCGAAAATACCTAAAACTGCGGGAAAATTCGTCGGAAGACGAGCGACTTTTTTTTGCTTGTATCCAGTTTGTACGTTACACAATAGAAGTAGAGTTCATTATACTATGGTTACAAAAATCCGCTTCCATTCCCTTTCGCGGCAATGTAAATTGACCCTTAATTATGAGTTGATTCTTCGTTCATTAATTTGCACATAATCAAAGATAACCGATTTGCAAGTTATTAGCAAACAAACATATCGACACCTCCTACGTAAACTATGGTATGTCGAAATTATCAAGTTTACAGGGGTTTCTTATTTCAGTGAATTCAGAACTTTAAAAGGTTGCATAACACGTGACTTTAGCATTTCTCAGTTTTATTCGGCAAACTCGTTACTCACATAGAGTATTATAAAATCCTAGATATCCGTTAAATGATGTATTAGATGATCACTCTACGTGAGTAACGAGCTTTGCCGAATAAAACGGAGAACTTTAAAACGCTCCCCTGTACTTGGCAACATGGCAATTCCGACATACGATACTTTACGTAGGAGGCGTCGAAAATATATTATATTTTAATTCATTTAAAAATGGACGTTAATAGATCATGCACTAGAGTGTAAATATTGTAAACGATGTAGATTCAATTTTGATATTAAAAAGTAATCAGAAAATATAATCTTATATACATCGAAATAGCGCTCAACTTCTGAAAATTCAGACCGAAAACTTCCAATTTCTGTCAAATAAAAACTACTAAAAAATAATATTATTATACTCTATGATTTCTCGAATTTTATAGGTATTCTAAAGTCTTTTTCCCTTATAAACCTCCCGTCGTGACATTGCCGTAAACGTGGAGGGTCGTGTATATGTCGTCCTCTAAATATAGATATATAATCTCTACCGTCAACTCCTTTGTACGTTATTACGTCAGCACGACAACCATGTACGTCTCTTGAAGAACAATACCACTGCTTTTTCCCATGAGCTTGATGGTTCTTCATATAAAACGTGAAGCCGTTTAGGATTAAAAGACCGGCTCCTGTACGCCCTGGTATAAATTGAGCGGGGACAGCTGAGGAATAACCAGAAAAACCAGATTAATTACCTGTTTGTTGGAGGTAAATTAAACTACAATACCTATTTTAAAATGGTTTATTTATAATACCTGTTCCAGAAGCATACGAGTTCCCTGAAAAACTTCTCGATTTCGCAGAAAGTTTTTGAGGAAACTTGTTCGCGTTTTGTCAAACGCGACCATAAAATTTCGGGGCAGGAATTTAGGATTAGGAAGGGCAAATAATTAGACCAGACGATCCCCATATCTTTATTTCTGTTTTATCTTTAATTCTTTTCTCTTTTCTCCCAAATCTTTATTTACAAAAAAAAGGTTTTACAATTATCGAAATAGTTTAAAAGAAAATTAAAATACATAAATAAGAAACAAAAATACAATCGCGAACAAGAAATACTTCGTAAATTTTACGAAGTTATGTAATGGCACCATGGTTATAAAACCAAAATTAAAAATATTAAGAAGAGTTTCCAAACCCTGAAAGGCAGATGTTTATAAATATTCCAATGTTAAAATACCCACTACGAAATTTCTCAAAATCTTGGTATAAGATCATAGGTAATGGAACAAAATATCTATGCAAAAACCCTGTGCTTTCTTCAGAATAAAAATGTAACATTCTAAAAGTTATATACATACATTTATAATATTCATTCAAAATATGAAGATCCAACATAGGTACAAGGTGAATCTGTTACACCTTCTCGATCAAAAGAAATTCCTTGTACTGCGCAATAATATACCCTACATACATACATTTATCACTATTTGAAATGTATAAACCGTCCATGTAGTTTGTGCAAAAACACGCATAATTAACGTTCTATACCACTTGAACTGCAGATATTTGAGTGCGGTGACTTCATTTTCCAGGATCTATGCCATCAAGTATGTCATGTAACGCTTCTAGATAACAATCTATTGAATCATTCAAAAGCAACCTCCTACTTAGATCCACCTAATTACATGATATATTAATCATACACAAACGAATTTAAATACCGCAAATTCGTACCAAACATACATACATTTAGAGTTGTTCCTAATCAAAAACAATTCCATCTACTTAACACCATATAAATAACAAAATAGTTATCCACAGACCTCTCAAAAGAGTACCTTTCGTTCTCGTGACTATGTACCACACCTACTTAGATTTTTAAAATAATTTAAACTCATATTTGTTTAATATATACGTCAATCTGAAACTTTTATCTGCTTGTAATCACAAAGACTGATTGCGAGATTAAGGGCAAATAAACACTCTCTAACATGTCTCCGAGAGTAGTCAACAGATCTTTGATTTTAGATTGATTCTCTATTTACTTCAGTCCCTTCATGCAAGCTATTTATATAGTCATTAGATAATAGGCATTAAAACTAACTATAGTTAATGATTATAGGTAATACATTTCACCCAGCAGCAGTTACCATAAACGGCCTACTTCCAAAGAAGGAACCACTACCTTCCTATTTGTAAGTTTCATGTCTTCTACCCTTAACTGAGTGTTACCTAATATTTATGAAGTTTATGTTTAACCCACTTATGCTCCGATGCTGGGCGTGGGTCTCCTCTATTGAGAGGGTTTAGGCTGCACATCAACTGTTCAGAAGTTTATTTTAATTCCAAATTTGACAAACACACCAATTGCCTGGACTGCCTAGTTTGACTAGGGAATTCCCTGCACTACGAGTACCAGAGCAACAGAACTGACTTTGGGGCACTATTGGAACACCCAAAACCAATTTAGAAAAGGTCTTTCACCAATTTGGTCCAATGGAGATCGAACCCGGGATCTCTGCATCCAGCACCCTCAATGCAAACTGTTAGGCCACCGAGGTCATCATAATCAGAATACATTAATCTATAACTAAAATCTCAGTACAGATTGCTAAAAACCACTCTCAAAAATTTGTGGAATTACGTCTATTTGCCAAGTTTCATTGAAATCGGTTACCGGAAAGGCCGCGAAACCGGATTCATCCCATAGTTTGCCACCCTAGGAGGAAGAATATTTTTTTCAAATTGAAATAGGACCACTACTGAAGTACCCTCTTTCCAACAAAAAAAAAAAAAGAATCATCAAATTCATGTAACACACATAAAAAAAACCTCCTCCTTTTTAAGTCAGTTCAAAAGTCTAATTACTTTAAGTCAATACTACATGTAATGTTTATTTACTTTAAGTACATACATACATAACACTGTTATATAGTTAAGGATGCAATTAACATTAACATTTACCCTTATTATTAATAAACAAAACTGGCAAATAATATCCATTTTTGTAACTTTAATATTAAAGAAATCGGTTTCAATAGTTTTTTGTGAGTCATTCAGTAGTTTTTGTTAAACAATTGGTGCAACTATAACATTAAATACAGGTCACTTCATTTACAGAAGTGGTACAAGTTGTTTTTACTTTGCAGCAGTTTTGTCAGTAATTGCATTCAGCAGTTTTAAAGAACAATTATTGTAATTGGTTAATCATGGTATAGAGATCCATTCAGTAGTTTTATTTCAACACCTAAGTAAATGCTAATACTAGAACTGAAATTATGTACTGAAATTTCAGAAAACTAACGTAATTAAGCATAAGAACAATGTAAATACCTACAAATAGATTTAATTTCATACCTTTGTCAACATCATAACAGCCGAACCATGGACCGTAAATGATACATTGAGTAAAGTCCATATTATTAAAAACATACAAGCCTGCATTAACATATAATTTGTCAACATGAATCTATAAAATAATAGGATCATTTGCACAGCTACCTACTTAGATATGTAAAATATAATATGAAACGCATAGATTTTTTTATATATAAAAGCTGGAACTCATTACGTCCAATTTCGCTCACCTTTGCAATGAACAGTGGTAAATTAAGTGACAAAATGTCACTTTAAATATGACTGTACATAACTTTAATTCTCGCAATTATTGAGCAATAACCCTTGGTATAAAAATGGTAACCATTATGAGATTACAGTCCAAACTGATATGTTTTTAGTTGCATGGGTATGTGGCTAATACCGTTTCTAAGCACCCATACTAATGATAAATCTATTGGTATCCATATCTCTATCTAACAACAGTTGTGATCAGGTTACCTGACCATTTATTACACTTAATGTAATTGATGACACAGGTGCTGGCACTTCACATTTTGTTTTTACTTTACCATCATCAATTAAAATATTAAATATTTATCAAACACATTATTGTGACAGAGAAGGTGTACTGGAGAATGGGAATGAGAGTGTCTCAACTTAGTCTCCAATATGGAATCCGAAAAATGTATCGCTGCATATTGTTCCATTGACCTTGACCTTGTACAACGTCAAAAGTATTTTACGCACTTTTGTATTTTACATAACACAATAATGATTGTACATTTACAGTACTACATACATATCATAGTTGAAGTAAAGATTTTGTACTAGTAAAAATATTATTACTTTCACATATGAATCAGACTTTTAGCATGTCTACAAGTCTAATATAAACATAAAAAGTCAGCAGGGGTATTATAACACTAAAATATCGAGTAAATTCGAGAGTATTTCCCAAAACAACTGCCTTCACTCAACAATAACAAACATGTTTTGGGTGACATTAAATGTGCCATAGGATGCTTATCAAACTAAATTTTTGGTTGGAATCCCTTCAGTAGAAAACTTACTCGCTATTACTCACCGAACCGCAGACTTTTTAACATATCAAGACCGCCAGGGGCCCTTATAACAGCAATAAAGCGGGAACATAAACTAACCTTAAAACACACAACACTTTGCACTTGGACACTGCACTTTCAAAACTCTACAGAACCGAAATAGACAAATATAACTAAGAGCACTTGCACTTTAATGATTTAACAACAATTTACTAGAAAATAACGCACAAAACACTACAAAACATTTTTGACACCTTTTTGTTAAAAGGATTATCTCATACATTATGTGAATATTTCGCGTAAGGATCACGACCGCGGCGTTGCTAAATAAAAATTGTATCGCGATTTACTCGATCTCGATGCGTTTCGCGAAAATATCGTAATTTGCGGTGTAAAAACAATAATAATTCAGCATCGAGAGAGTTTATTTTGTTTGACGTTTATGAAGTGCCATTCACGGCCAAACGGTGCGTTTTTGCGTCTCATATTACTTCTACCCATACTACACCGACTCTTTATAGAAAACAAGACCGTCTAACAAGTCAATGTAAATGTGTTGGTGTCATTAATTATTGTTATTTTGTAGAAAAAATATGCGTTTTAACGTATTTTTTTTATGTCGGCACAAAAATCAGCCATACCGCCTAGTTTTCTGCCAAGGAATACTACAAATGTGAGTAAATGCCAGTCCATCCATGCCTGGTTATGTTTTTAGTATCGAGCGCTTTCATAATATTGACACCCCATTCAAAATTCAGAATCTCCACTTGAGGTTACCTATATTGTTGATGCACTTGACTGTTATTGCTTTTTCTTTTAATTCCTATTATGTTCAATCAATATTTAAGTACTTCTTGGAATTGGCGTCGTAACACATTAAGCGTACTTTGAAAATTGTAGACATTATTGCTTGTCAACTCTACTCTATTCTACTTGAAGTAACCTACATATTTAGTTTCTTGACTTTTCTTGCTTTTTCTTTTATTTCTTTTTGTAAGCTTAATCTCTCTATTAGTAGGTTGGTATGTATCTTTTGTACGCAGATTTGCTCACTAACTCGTAATTATAATTTCATGAAATTAAGGACATGATAATGCGACCATCTGCCTACCATAGAACTTTCTAGACTCACTTATTGTCTAATATGTACGTACCTATTTTGTGAAGTGTTCATGGTAAAAGTAAGCAAAAGATGAAGAGAAGCGTTTTGTACTTTGTGTGTTTCATTTGTAATCATGAAGTGTTAAGTTGGTTTTAATAGATTTTCAGATTTTCACGAACTTGGAGAACCATGGACTAATTTTACGAAACATGCACTATAAGTTCACGATAGAAATCTTAAGCACAGCTGTCTTAGTTGAAAATTCGACTTTAAATTATTTAAAAGACCGTTTTTATATCTGTTGTTGAATATACAGCATGGATGAATGTAGTATACGTATATCTAAAACCTAATAAAATAAATGATATAGCCATCTAGTGGCGAGTAGCAGAACTTTGAATATGCTGACCCATACACCTAGTTTTTTTATACGATGTGGAGTTCCAAAGTACTAAGTAGTATAAGTAAAACATGATAGATGGCGCAATATTTTTTTTTTAAATATTTCATTTAAATGTCAATAGATGACGCCTTTTATATGAAAGTATTAACAAGGCTAGATTATGTATTTTCAAGAATGTCCATATTCTCACATTTTTGGGTGAAACTTGTAAACTCAGAATAATAACGCATGTAAAATTGAAACTAACGTTTCCTGAGATTCTTTGATTAAAATTTCCGTTCGTTTGTACATACAGAATGTAAATGAAATTTTTGCTAATTGGACATAGCATTGACAAAACTAAAAACATTCACAGTAAGTAAATCTTGATGTTCCACGTAACGATTGTCTCAAAGATATAAAATATATAAAAACCTGACATACTTATAAATTAGAAAGTAAGCATAATTTTATTTATTCAAATCCTTCGTTACCCATTCTGTGCTAATTTTACATTTCTCAGCGAATTCGCAAGACAGCAAAGACTGCTAATTTTCTTTTCTGCTATTTTACAGATCGTTCGCATAATAGGTACCCTACGAATTTTCTAGAACTCTGGTTGTTATTGGAACCTCCAATTAAAAAATTTAGGCGTTCCTATCTAGTTCAAGGTTCCTTTGGCATCTATTTATAGTTTTCTGTTCAATAAAAGTGGAACAAATTCTTGAATATAATATATATATATATATATATATATTATACCGCTGCCGCCGTAAGTTGAAATGGGCGTATGTGACAAAACTCAAAACCGAGAAAATAATGTAAAAGAAATGAAATTGAAAAATTCGATTTTTCTCTTGCGGTAACTTCATACCAAAATCACCTATATCACCTAGGAAAAAATAAAAATAGCGACAGATTGGCGTGATCACGGCAGTATTAATAACAAAGTATCTGAAACTCTTCTGAAATATCCACTACTCTTGTTCCGTTTGTTTGTAATAGATGTAATTAAAATATGTTTTCATTCTGAAACTAATTAAATTAATAATCTTTGAAAGACGCCATTATCAAAATCAACTGCAGCAAAACTTTTTAGTAATTAATTCATAATTAATTATTTGTAAAAATACACAACACGACTGGTAATAAAATAAGTTTCATTGTGTCCGACTAAACATTAGAGGCATATTTATAGTAGGTACATACATTTACTCACATACATTTCAATAATGAAAGTTACATTATAATATCATATAAGAGCGTGCACACGCGAATTTAGTAAGTTAGTCAGTATCTAATTTAAATGTGGTGATAGTTATTAATGTAAATTTTAATAATAATAATGTAAAATGTATCTAGATGTCAAAATAACAAAAGAGAGAGAGAAAAAAGGTTGCCTCAATAAACAGGGAGGATAAATTTTAATAGCTGCTATTCTGTCGTAGGTGGTTTCTCATGGAAGGTATTCTTCAGATGGTTTTCCCTAGATGATTCCAGCAAATGGTTTATTCTGAGCTCATCAGACGAGATTGTGCTTAAAAGCTTGTCTAAATGCATAACAAAAAGTGAAGGCAGTAATTGAATAATATTTTCAAACTCCATAGTAATTATCATAATCATTCATTTACTTGCGAAAACACACGTTGTGTGGAAGTTGCCATCATACATCTTCCGACCGCGAACTAAAACAAAAGTGACAAAATATTTTTTTGAGATGTCATAAAAAACCATAACCCAGTTTTAGAATATTGAAATTGTTTAATAATATTTCAGCTACGCGTCGTTAGGGTAAGTAACGATACGTCGAACAGGTTAACTAATTTGAACTGTTTTTAAAATAGAATTTTGTACTCTATCTTTTGCTATTTAAAACTAATATTTTACCATTTATCACTTAACTGCGTTTTAGTTAGGGGACGGCAGACATAATCTCAGTACAGAATTACATCTATTTGCCGTGCGCGAAACCGGATCAATACCCTAGTTTGAAACCTTAGAGGTGGAATATTTTCTCCATATTTAAATGGGATCACTGCTAAGATTCCCAAATTATCACCGGAGTTATCGCGTAACATGCATACAAAAAGAAAACACACAGTCGAACTGAGAATCTCTTCTTTTTAAAAATAAATATAGTTTCACTGTATCCGGCTAATCGTTAGGCGTTCAAACATATTGAAGTATATTATATACTTATACTCACATGCAGTTCAACGAGTTCAAGAGACTAAACCGTGTAAAGGTTATTTTTTTATAAAATTATATCACATGTTATTGTGCACGCGCACACATGGATTTATTCAGTCAGTAATTTAGACGTGGTGATAGTTATACCAGTAAATTTCATGATAAGAATTATAAATATCGACACTGGAAAGGTGAAACGTCTAAAGTGCATATGGTAAATATTATAGGAGAGAGAGTATTTTTTGTAAGAAAATGTAATAACTCTATTTATTATATGGAAAAACTGAAACTTTCTAGTACCGATGCGGGACTGCGAATGATTTCGATATTCGACTTGTTAGTAATTAATTACTAATTATGTCATTCGAATGACAAATTAGTAACCTACTCATTTTGTATTCGAGTGATCTGAATGATCGTTCATTTCTAATTAGTAATTACTAATCCATAGACTTTTTCCTTAGCCCTCTCACACATATGGTAAATACCGTAAATGTGACGGGGACAAGGACATATTGACATGGACGTGGTGAATGATCGGTGGAGTTCCGAGTGGTTTGGACGTGATATTCATTCGACTTGTGCACCCGATCGAATGACAGGGGCATTCGGTATCGGTAATCATTCGACTCGAGTCGAATGATTGTGTTTGGATTCGACTTGGTGATTAATTTGCCCATTCGAATAATCAGTAGGTATTAGTAACATTCAAAGTCGCGCATCGCTACTCTCTAGAAATATAGACTTACTTTCTAGTAATAATATTATCTGATTGACCTTGCCCGTTGTGTGACGGTAATACATTTTATTAGAGTAGTTGGTCGTCATCAGACTTCGATGCCGGAACATATAAGGATGCGACGGAAGATCAGCGTCAGTCTCCTGACTGGCATTACGCTGAGTCGCAGCCTTTTCATGATTTTTATGTATTAATTTTAATTTTTTTTACTGTTTATATTTAGTTACAATTATATCCTAAGTACTTTTATTTCTAAATTTAATAATTTTAATTTTTCTGTTTCTAAATTTACATGTGTTTATTGATGTGTTGTAAGCCGTGAATAAATCCTTTTCTAATATTTTTCTATTCTATCAGCGCAATAACCAGTCGATATTTTGTAATATCGAAATGCGAAGCATTTCATCCACTTGCATTAAGGATATATCACTACAACAACACTTATGTTACACAATTTACGGGCCGGTTATAACATCTGTTGTGGTTATATATTGCTCTTCAGTCACATGATTCATCTGCAGGTGTCCGAGTAGAGTAAACTGCTCACCGTTAGAATACAGCTCCGTATACTAGGTGCGAAGACAGATATATGATTCGCGTGTCTTATGGTCTTATTCATAAAGTTAAAATGTTCTAGAATATTATCATGAGGTGTTATTTAATATTGGAGTGTAGTATCCGGAAATATTATTTAATATTTCACTATAATATACTCGAATACTTAAATGATAAAAATTGCCACCAAAACTTAGGTAGAGGAAACTAATTTGAAAATTACCTAATTCTCGTGTAGCTGGGCACGTGTAGGTACATTAATAATTAGAATTTGTAGCAACGTTATATCTCAAGATTCAGTTTATTTTAGTAATAACAAGTGGGACCAACAAGCCGTGGGCCTATTGGTAAGCGACACGCCCATTCATAACAGCTGCAGTGACACTCAGAAGTTTAAATCGCAAAGATCTGAGGGGCATTGCCACTGCGCCCGTCACCCTGTGACATACGTTGACAAGTCCCATGTGCCTGTAATCTTACCAGCACCCTTACCCTTCAAAACTGGAACACAGTAATGCTGACATTACTGCTTGGCGGCAGAAATAGGTCTGCCACCTTACCTACTTCCATGGACAAACTCACAAGGAACTCTACTGTTACTTAATAACTGCCTCCGTGGCCTAAAGGTTACCATGCCAGACTGCCACGCCGATGTTCGATTCCCGGACCGGAAGAAATATTTGTATGGCGTGCATTTATTTCTCTCGTGAGGTTGCGCGAATTTGTGGTTGTCTATGTGTGTGTCCATGGCACCCGCGACATAGGGTTTTCCTAGTGAGGGGCTATGTTAAGTGTGTGCGTTATTATTACTAGTTCCCTAATTTTGATTTCTTGATGCGTCACGACATTAGCATAGCATTCCATTCCGTAGCACACGCGAGACTATTAGAGTATGCAAAAAAGATATGGTGAACATTTAAAAATTTTCAATACCCAAACATGAATCTTGGTAGGTTTACCGCAACTTAATAAACATTAAAATTAAGATAAAATGTTCGAAATAAAATAAACTTCTGTCTAATATGAAATATTTTATTTCATGTATTTTTATATTCCCTGCCTGCGGACTTATTTCCCGAATGCTGTAACTTAGATCTCTTCATCGGAGGCATAGGCATTATTTAGGTGTACATTCTACATGGTCGACCTCATCAACACTTTCCATCAGATAAGAAGAAGATCAAATGTGTATAAAAAAATAAAAACTTCGAATAAACATTCATATTACATTACACCATGTAACATTATTTTTTCTGGGCTCTCTGTGTCATTTCGTATAATTGGTTCTATCATAAAAACAAGAAAAAACTTTATTTCCCTGCATACACGAAAACGTACAAAATTTTCTCTTTAGTTGAAGACAAAATGAGAACAAACAATATATTTCAAATCAATAGTATATTTCAACAAAATTCTAGAAATTGACAACAAAGAACCTAGAAATGTGTACTTTTGCGAGATTATGTAAATAACAAACAAGCAATGTGTTGTAAATAGGCAGCTGGCTGTGTAAATAAATACCACTAGTCACAAAAATACGATTTCAGGTGCATAGATTCTCTTTTCTACATTTTTTTTAGAATACGTATTCTATTCTATTTTGAAGTTTCTGGCCTCTCTTGAAGAATTTTGCCAATGTGAAGTCAGTCGTGGGAGTTACACTTTAATATTTATTTTTATTTTTTATGATTAATTAATTAACACTGCTCTTTAGTCTATTCCGGCTTCTGGAACAAATACAAAACAACACGATATACCATCAATATAGGTATATATTTAAGTTTATTAGTACTAATAAAATCAGATATAAATTCTACGAGGGGATTTGTAAAAACAGATAATAGAAACTTGATATTTACGGGACGAGTAATAGAAGGTGGCAGACTATCATAAATGGAACATGTTCTGGTGGGGCAGCTGAAAAATATCTATATAGTGTGAGGTGCCTTCATCCAGGCCACATTCACAAATTCAGCTATTTATAATACGTGCTCGCTGGTCAGTTAAACAGAAACTAATATTGTCACACCCGAGGGTCGATATCTGTACGAATACTGCTAAATTAGTAATACTCGACCAACTTAATACACGCGTGTTTCTAAAGAAGTTTCATATTTCATATTGTCTTTTGATTTAGTCGAATATTAAATTTGTTACATGGTGTTATCATTCTTATTATTAATTATTTTTATTTCTTTATATTAATTATAATTTTATTTTAATATATAACATTATAAGAAAACTATCGTGCCGTATCATATTCGTTTAACAAGAAAACATCTATGCTGGTTTTCTATCAACGTTAGTTAGTTTAGGTGTTGAGAACAGAGAGGCCTATTCGTATCTCTACAAAACAATAAATCTATAACGTAGGTACGTAGGCGTTCATTAATACCCCCGGCAATGTCCATTTACTGGTTTTGCGGTATGTGGTTCATGTATGTACATCTGAACATTGTGTTCACTGGATCAAAATTGCATTAGGCACTTTGTATTGTGGTATTAGTACCGTTACGGAACTAAATTTCGTATTTAGAATGTACTGTAGGTATGTTTATGTATTTATAAGTTTATGTGAGGTGTTTTGCCAACGCCGGCAAAGTATTAGATCCCACTGCGGGCATATGCCTTCTCTAAGTAGAAAATTAAGGCTGTATTAAGGCGATACAGTCTGTGACAATGCTAATCTCTTTCATCGTCATCCCGCTATTTTGTCATCCTCTTTTCTGGTTCTTGGCCCCATATTTTTAAATTTAAATCGTTCTCGAATTCGCTTTCTCTTCACTATTATTGTTTTTTTTTTATCCGTCGTCTATACCATCAAAATTTTTGAAACAAGAGGACGTGCCCGCAAAGCACAAATCACCTTCATTTCATGTCGATTACTATTAAAGAAGGATGGCGACATCCCGTGTATTTTGTGACCCAGTGTTTTTTGACGATGTGCATTAAAGAGGCTCATCAATACTTGTGATTCATTATCGAAGCATCAAAAAAGCTAATTGAGTACAGCCTGCAGAAGCTGGGGTTATAAACTTGACATAGGTTATATTATAACATTGTCTTGTACACTGAGCGGCACGGAATCTTGGCCAAGCACTAATCTCGCGTTTGCAAAAGTTTTAAGTGTTTCTAATAAGTACTTCTCATGAAGGTGTGTAGAAAAAATGTTTACCCTCATTTCAAG